AACCCATTTGATGTAGCAAATATTTTCAGTGAGATATAATTGATCAATCATATCAAATCACATTAGGCATGGAGACATGGTAACAGAAAAGCTGAATGTCTAAAGCTCCATGACCTTCATCTGAAGAACTCCATTATTAAAAGCTCCTTTAACTAGAACAAAGAGCATTCATCATGCACAGGACAATTACACTATTACAAGGTATACTAAGCTCACTTCTACATGGATTAATTACTCTAGAATTGTTGAATCATATGGATATTCTTGGAAGACTAAGACCTGAAAGATGGATGGAGAATATGCTGAGGGGCTGGCTAAGCTTATATGCTCTATCCACAACCCCACTCTACTTTTTTTTTATTAACTAACCTAATAGAATTAACAAGAAATTTTCCTAACTCTTGATGAAACCCAACAACCCTATTACAACAAACATCATGATTAACCAGTAATCCAACCATCCTATGACCCATTTATATCTCGACCACTTTAAAGTCTATCATATATACTTTTAAGCAATAGGGGTTCTTGCATAGATATCCTTGCAAAGTTTTCTTCTCATCATGTTTAACATTAGTTTATTTAAGTGAAAGAACTGTTTTAAAACATCAAATATTGGTACCAATTATATTGTTTCTGATGTCATAATGAGTCCTTACAAGGGATATACACATGCTATATTCAAACTTTTAGATGAACAAAAATAATTGATTTTGTAAGGATCCAAATTGCAGTAAAGAACAAAGGGACCTAAGTCTACTCAGGTAACATATGCCTGCTCTTTCTTGGACATGTGGATGGGAACCTCTCACTGATTTGAACTTGTGATTGATAAAGCTTCTCCATAAACAACACTTGTTAGAATAAACCTTTTGCATTTGACCTTGGTGTTGAGGCACTTCCACCTTTTAAAAGATAGGTGTAGAACAGCCGGAAAGGCGGCCCTCATTGCCGCAATGATAGAATTAATTACAAAAAGCATGAAGACCTAGAAATAAGTAAACAAAGGAAAGGGAAAAGATGTAGGTGATCTTTCCCTTGTCCTTGCCTAGGACTTGGAATCTCATGGGGAGTATCATGGCATCAGCAACAAGACTTGTCTTAGTCTAAGGAGATAAATACAAGGATTCTATTATAGTGAGGAGGGAAATGGGAAAGGGGGAAGCATTTGGGAATCAATTGTTATTTTGATGAACGTAATTGGATTTTAGCATCCGGAATGTTGATGGTTTTGATTATTTTTTTTCCAACTAAGATACAAGATAGATACCTCCACCATTATACCTATATACAAGAGCTGAGACTTGTTGTGCTTGCAGATTTTAGAGTATATCTTAATACTAGTTACAAGTTATTGGTTGATATTCTTCACTGAAAGTCTATACCTCAGAAGTATATTGTATTACATGTCATTTTATAGGATCGTATGCATTAGATAATGCATGTATTCGGTGAAAAAAATTGTATCATCTATTGGTTGGCTACCTATGCGAGATTCAATAAAGCTTTTTATATTTGGAGAGACTTTTATCCTCCGGATCTAGATTTTTATGTTTGCTCTAATGGGAATGATTTCGTCTCTCTTCATAGCCATTAATAAAGGTTAATCTTGAATTTTGAGCTCTTGTTAAGAAGGAAAGATTGAGAATTTTGAGCTAACACTTCGAATGCATGGTATTCATAAAAAATAAGTGATATTATTCATGAAAAATAAAAGATGACTATGATCTCGTGGTACGATACTATTCAAAAGAAAATGATGTATTCTCTTTGTTTGGAGTGAGAAGCTATAAAAAATTAATTTAATCGAGTGGAATTTATTTGATTTATTCTAACTAACTTAAGTTAAACTTGGACAAAATTCATTTGTTGAAGAAGTCTTATATAGTTTCGAAGAATTCATTTGTTATAAAAGTTTTATTTTCACCTAAAATAGGTTAATTACATATTATCCCATGTAATTAACTATATTTAGTATCTTGGTCTTTATATTTTTAAATGTTATATTGAGATTCTTATATTTACGAAAATGACATATTTAATCTTATTTCTTCTCACGTCATCAACTCTGTTGATAAAAACACTGTACGTGTTGAGTGATAAACCGAAGTGAAGCAAAATCAACACATACTTAGTGATAAATCCTATAGTATTTTCATCAACAAAGTCAACAGCATAAGAAGAAACAAGGTTAAATATTTCACTTTCGTAAGTATAGAAATCTCAATGTAACTTTTGAATGTATAGAAATCGAAATACTAAGGGTAACTAATTTTAAAGGATAATTTGTAACTAGCCCACCTAAAACAATGCTAGAAACATATCCATATATATCTAACAAAAAGAATTCATTTTATTCGTTATATGGGTATCCAAGTGTAACATAATAATTCAAGTTAAGACTAGCAAAAAGAAAAAAAAAGAAATACTCATATATATAACAAAAGTTCGACAGTTGAATTCATTATATATTTAAATACCATAATAATATGATTTGGGCTAACTCTTGTCTTCCTACTTTAGTTGGTAGAAGAATCCAAACTAAGATGCTCAAACAGGCCATTACTTCCCTTTGAAGCACCGTGTAGATTAGTCAACCACCACGTCACTCATCCACGGCATTCAACTCCAATTTGACCCATCTTTTCCTGCCTCATTTTTATCCTCACCAGTTTAGTTGCCAACCTTTTGACCTCGTGGATTCTCTGCAAACAAGCTCTCTTTCATGCTTTGTCTATGGGGCAGGTGAAGTTGCTAGAGATAAGGCACTTCAAAATCTCACAAGTAGCATCAAAGATGAGCTGTTTTATCTCCATTCGTTAGATGGAAATCTCAGATTGAGAGATTGATGAAGAGGTAATGGAACACAATAGCAAAATTTAGCTTCCATGGTGGTCAGATCAGTAACTAAAGAATAGTTGTAAATGATCCTTAATATGGTATCAAAGACATCAACATTTAGCTAAATTGTACTAGCATTGCATTCATCCTTCTGCTACGTAAGAGTCTCTCTTCATCATGTTAGTGATAATTATGAGCCGGAGAATATTACCGAGGAGACCTGTATTCACATTTCCCATTTGAATCTCCTTACTCCTTGCTTGATGATTACTTTCTGATCATGACTTTGAGATAGAATTGTGACTTGCAGAGGACTTGGAAGTGGATCAAAGAAGAGCCTAATCAACCTCATTTCATGTGCAATTTCCTGTTCACTTTAATGGTGTTCTTTAGCTTTTACTGAAGTATATCCCTTTCAATCACATTCAATTTTCAGATGCTGTCAATGAAAACAATACATTGGTATAGCAAATGATAAGGATCAAAATTTTGGCCATTACTATGTTTGACTAACACACACAAACTTCACTAAGATAACAAAGATGTTGATAGTGTGAGTAGGTGATCAGTTACTTCTTCAATATGTTCTTACCTAAGTCTGGGCTCACAAGGAGATCACCTCCTCTTGTATTCAGTGTTAATCATATCATAATTTTCAAAAAAATAAAAAAGAAAGATTCAAAAGCCAACAAGCTAAAATGCTTGAAGCTCCTGCTTAGCATTATTAACCCAGAAGTCTTGGAAGCAAGAAGTAAGCAGACCTGCTACTTCTGTCAGTTCCAGCTCAATGGAGTAGAAATCACCTAAACAACCTCTCCATCAATCTTTAAGGCACTCAGGCCATCCCTTGAAGAATGGGTTGCCTTTAGGTCTTGTTGTGAAACCTTTTAGATTTATGCGGAGCTGATTAGTTTAGTTCAGCTTGAGTTGTGATGGGGAGTGGTTTCATGGACATGAACTGCTCTGATTTGTCCTTATCGAATGAGTGTTTAGAAGAGCATACACTGAACTGCTGCTGTCTGTTCCTCCCACAAGAATGATGAGGTCTGAGGGTTTCTGATATAGAATAACATTCCCGCATGGTCAAAGCCTGACACAATGTGGCAAAAATTAAAAGCGGATATAGGATTGCTTCAGTGATCATTGATGTTTTATTTAAGATGTAAAGTAGTATTGAAGAAAGATAAAGTTTTGATCATCATATACCTGAAATGACAAAAGTGGTACACTAGAGAATGAAGAGATGCAGTCAGCAGTTGTGATTTGGAATGTTACATTGCCTTGATTCAGATGATTATGATGGGTATTCTTATCTCAGTAAATCTGTGGCTGTCCTAATTCTGAGTTAATTATAGATTATTTTTATAATTAATTATTTTTAATATATTAATTTTTATATTTTCAAAAATTATATTGGGATCTTATGAAAGTAAAATATTTAACCTCATTTCTCCTCGTATCGTTAATTTTGTTTACGAAAATATAATAGAGTTTATCACTAAGTATATGCAAACTCTATGGAGCATGTGTGGTATTTTCGTCAACGAAATCGATAGCGTGAGGAGAAATAAGGTTAAATATTTTACTTTCATAAATATATGGATTTAATATAATTTTTAAAAATATAAAAACTGAGATACTAAAAGTAGTTAATTATAGGAGATAATATATAATTAGCTCATTTATATTCTACTAACATGTTAACCCAAAAAAAAAAATCAAATAAGAAAAAATAAAACACATCAGTTGAAACTCGAAGCCATAATTGCCGGATTAAAAGTTAGGCGACTCATCCATTAGGCCCAAAGAGCCCATGAATTTACCTTTTTGGATATAATAATTAATTTTAAAAAAATTATTAAACCTTACATGGAATAAAATAGATAATTATTAACGAAATAAAAAGAAAAAGAGAAATTTTATTCAACAATAATTTTTGTAAATAGTTATTATATTTATAAAAAAATCTGTGATATATATATATATATATATAACAATTTTAATTTTAAAAAAATAATAGGAATATTTATTTTATATTTATATGCTAGATTAATGTAAATAATATTCTTAATGCACAATCTTGGATCAATTTATGCTTCTTTCTTGTGGCACCGTTTTTGGGATGTCGTATATGTATGCGCACGGCTGGCGCACGAAACCCCTCCATGAAATGAAATGTTCGTGGCGGTGGTTTACCTTCGTATCAGGATACCACAGGTAGCCTTACCATCGCTCTTTTTCTCTTTCGGCGCGCGAAAGCTGATCCCCGTCTCCGCCTTACGCCACATCTCCTCTCATCCTCAGCGACCACCGCCGTGCTCGCGCTCCATTAATGGACCGCCGGGGATCTCCACTTCACGCCCTGACCACAGCGTCGATCCGCGCGTCGCACGAGCCAACTATGGCATCACCCAACTCAGTCGCCAGGGCAAGATGGCGGACGCCCGACAGCTGTTCGACGAAACGCCCCACAAGGACGTCATCTCCTGGACCTCAATGATCTCCGGCTATGTAAGATGCGGTATGCTCCGCGAGGCCCGAGCGCTCTTCGAACGCTCCGACTCGGAGAAGAACGTCGTTACCTGGACCGCTTTGCTCTCTGGCTACATCCGTTCGAGGCATATCAGGGAGGCCGAGGAGCTGTTCGGTCGGATGCCTGAAAAGAATGTCGTATCATGGAACACGATGATCTCTGGGTATGCTGAGAACGGCTTTGTTGATGAGGCCTGTGAGTTGTTCCGACGGATGCCAGAGAGGAATATTGTGTCCTGGAACACAATTGTGACTGCCTTGGCTCAATCTGGTCGGGTTGATGAAGCTTACTGTCTCTTTGAAAGAATACCGCAGAGGGATGTGATATCGTGGACTTCGATGGTCACAGGCTTGTCACAGAATGGGAGGGTCGATGAGGCTCGTGCTGTCTTTGATAGGATGCCAGAGCGAAATGTGGTTTCCTGGAACGCAATGGTATCGGGTTATGCCCAGAATTCAAGGCTGGAGGAAGCATTGGATCTTTTCGTCAAGATGCCTGAGAGGGATATCATATCCTGGAACATGATGATCACTGGGTTTATACAGAATAGAAATTTGAAGAGGGCTCGAGAGTTGTTCGACAATATGAACGAGAAAAATGTGATCACTTGGACTACAATGATCACAGGATATGTGGAAGATGAGCAGAATGAGGTGGCTTTGAAGATGTTCTTGGAGATGTTAATGGATGGTGTTAAGCCAAATCAAGGAACATTTGTCAATGTCTTGGCTGCTGTTAGCAATTTAGCAGCTTTCCTTGAAGGGCAGCAGATTCATCAGATTGTTAGCAAAACCGTCTTCCAGTTTGATACTTTTGTGAGTTCTGCTATAATGAACATGTACTCCAAGTGTGGTGAGATTGGAACAGCTAGGAAAGTGTTTGACTTATCAGACCAGAAGGATTTGGTATCTTGGAACGGAATGATTGCAGCATACGCTCATCATGGGAATGGGCAAGAGGCAATAAGCCTATTTAGAGAGATGCATCAGAATGGATTCAAACCTAATGATGTGACATATGTGGGATTGCTCTCAGCATGTAGTCATTCGGGTTTGTTTGATGAGGGGCTTAATATTTTCAAGTCTATAATGAAGGATCCATCAGTTGAAGTGCGAGAAGACCATTATGCTTGCTTGGTAGACCTTTGTGGCCGAGCTGGCCGACTTCAGGAGGCTGCAAGCTTTATTAAGGGGCTAAAGATTGGCCCTTCAGCAACCTGTGTTTGGGGGGCACTTCTCAGTGGTTCTAATATCCACGGGGACATGCAAATTGGGAACTTAGCAGCCAAGAAGCTCATGGAGGCAGAGCCCAATAATGCTGGGTCTTACATGCTGTTATCAAACATTTATGCTTCAGCTGGTAGATGGAAGGAAGCAGCAAAGATAAGGTTACAGATGAAAGGTAAAGGACTAAAGAAACAACCTGGATGCAGTTGGATTGAGGTGGGCAATAGAGTCCATGTGTTTGTGGTACGTGATAAATCTCACATTGACTCTCAGAGGATTTACACTCTGTTGCATGATCTTCATGACAAAATGAAGAGAACTGGATATGTGCCTGCTACAAATCATTCTCTAGTTGAGGATGAGTTGATGACCATGTAAGTTGTGCTTCCTTTTAGATTGGAGAATAACCATTGGTAAGTGGAGAAGAGGTTGCACTGTGGATCTATTGTGTGGCTCATTAGTATGCGAATGGCCCTTGAAATTAGGTTTCTTTCCTTACTTGAGTGAAGAACAACCTCATACCAGGTTAATCTCAAGCCAAAAAAGGCTTATCCGTTCACACTTGTTGCTTTGACAACACACTGCAGATTGATTGTATATCATTCTGATGTTGCCTACTGTCAGAAGGTCAAGTGAAAGGTAAGAGAAGGATCATGTTCATCTGCTGACTTGTTCTACGTCCCTGCTAAAGTTGAGCTTGTGAACAAAGAAAAATGAAGACTGCAACAACATTAGCTCAGTTAACAGGATGATTCTCTTCTGTCCAAAAGAAGATCAATTTCTTTAGAATGTGGCTAAGTGTTAGGAAAAACAGTGTCGTAGGTTCGTGTACCTCATCCAACTCTTTTTGATATCAGAAAAAGTCAAAAGCCACCTATGACTTATTTATGTCCTATGTAGTATGAGCTTTGACTAATCTCAAAATAATAGTTGTGGCATCCATTTCCGAGGGCGGCTGCTGAATCCTCAAAAAAATTGTGGAGTGCTTATATTCAGATATAAGAAACAGCACATATATAATAGATCTACTGGAGAAATGCTAGCCCTTCAGGCATTTGTTTAATGCTGTAATCTTTCAGGGCACACCACCTACATCAATTGACCATAAGTTTAGTGTTCTTTAACTACTATGACAAGGTCAACCATAATTTTGTATAAGGTCTGAAGCCATGTGATTTGCAACAAAAGCTGCTCTCTTTAACTTTCTACTCTATTATTATATCAGCCAAGAGGCACTGCTTCCATGACCTTATTATTGTGTTCATCAAGCGAGAGAGACGATGACAGCAACTTCTATAAGATCCATATATATAGTATGCTCTGATGCAAGTTTCGGGCTTTGAGAAAAGGATAGTTGACTTGGTAGTGCTGCCGCCATCCATAGAAGGTCCAGTCGGAATGCAGCCATGAGATGGTCTTTTCTGTGGCTTTCACGTCTCAACTAATTCCAAACAATGACTGATTCACCTCTTGAATGCTTCTTCATTGAGCTTGCTGATGGAAGTCCATGTAGTTTGGCATCAGTCTTTGGATGTCCAAGAAAGAAGAGGTATCAGAACCAGATAAACCTCAGCTTTGGAACAGAAGAGGTAAGCATAGCCTTCTCACCATTTACTTTCTCTTCTGTTATGGCATGATGTTAATCCGTGAGATTGATGGCTTTTCTCATTTTAGAGTTGGGTTCCCATTTGTGATCCGATGGCTTTACTTATGGCATGCCTAATGAGGTGGCAGGTGGTTTATAGTGCTAATAATTCCTAGCCTTGCATTTAAGTTTAGAATCCTGTTAGAGGGTTTAGGAATATTATGTAGAAATTATATAGGATTTATTAAAAGATATTATTTTTTTTATTCCTCTTTTCTTTGTTAGTCAGCTGAGAAGCTTGATAATCCTCAACTGCATTCGGGCACAGGTTCCTAATACTGAGATGAAAATAAAGTTCTGAAGAGCCTTGATTTCAGTATATGAACCATTTGTTCTCGAAGCACTTCTGGCTATTTGTTCATCAAACTATAACATAGTGAGTACTCTCATTTCCTAAGTTCTAACATCATCGGAAACGAAGACATCAAGAGTAATTAGATGAAAACATGGAGAATATGAGAAGACTAAAAGTACAAGGTACCATGCATACTTTGAATTTCTTCTCATACATTCCCCCTCTTTATCTACGATATGTTGTGGTGCTATCAGATGCCAAATTCAGAGTCATCAACCTTCATCAAAGTCTCTCCTGGGGCCACCATTGTTGCCACCAGTAAGCCAATGTTCCTGCTCTTCATGCTAACTTTTAACTCTTGAATCCTCCCACTAACAACATTGTTTCAAATTTTGCAGCGGGAATCATCTAAGGAGGTGCAATGCTCATTGTGATAGCTATTTTGAACATAAAATGTGTCCGGAAGACCAAATTGCAGTCAGTCTCTGCGCAAGAGCATTCAACCAATGACACTGCAACTAGTTCTCATAGCTCTGCCTTGCGAAAGGATTTGAGCATTGAAATGGATACCATCTATCAATTTATTGAAAATACCGAGAAAGAGATGCCCATGAGATTTACACCTTGGCATCTGATGCACTTTGCTGACAATTAGACAGAGATACTCGGATCAGGTGGCTTCGGAGTAGTCTACAAAGGTCAGCTTCCCGATGGACAGAAGGTGGCAGTCAAGGTCCTCCATGGATTGACCTTGGACAAGAGAGCCGAGGAGCAGTTATGGCAGTTGATTCAATCAGCAGAGCTTGTCATACCAACCTGGTCAGGCTCTATCGGTTCTACTTCGACAACTTTGTGAAAGCACTAGTTTATGAGTTCATGGAGAATGGGTCGCTTGATCTCTATCTTCTTCATCAGAACAACAGGACCGACTGGGGAAGGCTACTAGAGAATGCAATTGGGATAGCCAAGGGAATCAGACACCTGCATGAGTAGTGCCAGCAGAAGATAGTACATTACGACATCATGCCCGGTATACTCCTTGATTGGAACCTCATGCCGAAGATTTCTGACTTCGGATTGGAAAGACTGCTACCGCATGAATGCTCATGCAACACTCACAGGAACCAGGGGAAATCCCGGATATGCTGATCCAGAGCTGTGGATGCCATTGCCTATGACTCAGAACTGCTATGTCTACAGCTTTGGGGTGGTTCTGGGAAAGAAGCTTGATGTAAGATGAGGAGAGAGGCTTGAATGAGGAGAACCCAAGGGCGAGATATCTAGGACAATGTAATAGCGCTGTCGTGTGTTCAGTATCACCCACAGGCGAGACGTTCCATGAACAGTATGGTAAGAAAGCTCGAGGAGGAAGAGGAGATCTCCATGTCTTCAGACCCATTTCAGTATATCTTCCATCACATCTTTCAAGTCCAGCTCCATGGGTAATTGGTATCCTGGAAAGTTCAACTAGCACAGGAACTGCCACAAGTGATCTGATGCATAGATAATGAAGTTCTCTTCTCATCATTTATTCTGGTATTGTCAGTCAAAATGGTCTCTTTTTGTTTTGTTTTGTTCTTCTTCCTTTGCTTCCATAAAAAGACATCATATGGTGCAAAAGAAATTAGCTGACTTTCCAAGAAACAGCCACTTTGAACTTGTCAAATATTTTTTATAAGGGCCTTAGTCACCACGTTTGACTCAATATAACCAACCTATGGAGAAGGCATGGCATTTATTTTTGTTTTTTGTTTTTAAAACAAACATTCACTATCTATAAATATATATGAGCCCAAACATATCCAAAGGGTAATAAAGTTAAATTTGATCATCAATTCGACATAGTGAGATTGATCTAACTTTCCCAATTTTTTGGAGTACTATCACATCCAAAAAAACAAAAGAGGGAAAAGTTGTTGAGTATTTTGAACTTATACCTCGCAAAAGATTATGTCGAAGTTTTGTTTGGTAAAATTTCTCTGATGATCAAATCGAAAACTTGTATGTATTTGTTTTGTAAGTTCCAAAAAAATATATATTTAAGAAGACCATTAAGAAAATATTGGCACATCAAACAAATTTCATAGCGCGATTGCACAATACTCTATAAAAAGATATTTTAGATGCATTTTTAAGGGACCTTTTCTTATTGGATGTTTTCTAACTTGGTACTGGATCGAATCATTTGAATTTTTATAGACTTAAAACATCAAAGCAACTTAAACAATGTCAATTTAAAAGAATATTTTCTTCTTGTTTCTTTACACCAGCATGGTGCATCATCCAAAATTCAAGATTAAATAAAGATCATAAGTCATTCTTTTATTGCAAATCAAATCGAAAATCAAGTTATGATAAATATTGATTATACTCCAAACATGATTATTGTCGATATTCAAAACAATTTAGAGTTGTGTTATATAAGAAGACTGATGTTGCTTGAGAGCTTATACTTAATAAGATTATTTCTAAGAAAGTTGAAACTCGCATGACTATGAGACTCAAATTCAAATGTTAATTTCATCAAAAAATCATCGAATATTTAGATTATATATGGGATATGTTTTTGGTATCGATGTTGCACATCTATCGGGCAAGACCGCTATTGATGGTTATAATAAATTATTTCTAATTATATTTGCTATGATAGAGATTAAGCTCGCCTGCTGCATCTGTCGGTCTCATTTCACCTGCACCATCAACAGAGCAACCAAGAACACCTTGTGTTATAACTTGATCCCTTTCTTTTTATCCTCTTTGTGTGTGGCTCTGTACTTTGGCAATGAACAAAGTACATATCTGTAAATCGACAGCAACAATCCTCCTTAAGATTTGCGGTTGTTTTCTGCAAGCATGCAGTATCCTCCTTAAGAGAAGTAAATAAATCAGAGAAGTCGCTTGTCCTCCTTTGGCCTTGAGTCTTTTGACTGGACTCTTTTAACTCTTAAATCCTAATCCCTTGACCTCCTCTGCAATCAAAACCCTTTTCATCTCTCTCTCTCTATCTCTGTACTGCCTACTACCGAGATCCCACAGTGTATTCCAACAGTTCCCAACAGTCATTGCAAGTGCATACCAGCTGCAATAAGAGAGATCAGCAACATGCCATGGAATGGAAATGGAGGAGTGAAGCTTCGAAACTGAGTCAACCCTGAAAATGAGCAGTATGTAACCTCTTTATTGCCATGGAAGCTCCGAAACTACCAACTCTTAGTAGGAGTACCATGGTAGTGCGGATATTACAGCAGCTAACTACTAACACTGCAACAATGGGAGATGAACAAAGTCAGGCGCCGGCTACAACCACATAAAAGGAAGCAAATAGATAGATAGATATATCGGTAAAATCTTGATCGTTGGCTAGCTGAGTTGCAAGTAGCGGCGGGCCATCGGATGCTGGGCTTCCGACAGGCGAGCGGGCTCCAGTACCTCCACCATCTCGCCGGCCACGAGGAGGCACACCAGGTCGGCAATGCGCTGGATTTGTTTGACGCTGTGGGACACCATCACTGTCGTCATCCGCCGCGACTCCTTGAGCCGCACGATCGCCTCCTCGATGTTCTGAGTCGAAATCGGGTCCAGCGCGCTGGTGGGCTCGTCCAGCAGCAGCACCTTGAGAGGGCGATCAATTCAAACAATACCATGTTCACGTCTCAGCTCTGACTGCTGCGACTCGAGATGCGAAGGAGGAGGAGGAGGAGGAGGAGCTGAGCACACCTCGGGGTCGTTGGCGAGGGTTCGGGCGAGCGCGACGCGCTGGGCCTGGCCGACGGAGAGTTGGGAGGACGCCTTGGAGGCGAAGGCAGGGTCCAGATCCGCCAAGCTCAGCAACTTCTTCACCTCCTCTTCCGTCAGCTTCTTCCCTTTCAGTTGAGGTCCGTATCTCACGTTTTCTGCCACACTTCCTGTTTCAAAAATGATGTTATCCTTATGAATTACCAGATAAATCTCGAGGAAATGAAAGGAGTTTTCTTCTCCTTTAGCTTTTCTAACATCTCACTTTTCTCATTTTAGTCCCCACTGGTCCTTTCTTTACTCCCAGTCCACGCCACATTTTGGGCCCAAACAGGGAGCACAAAGTACCCTCTCATCTCCGCCCCCAAGCGAGGTCTCCTTCTTGACACAGCACAGTGGTGAGGGACTCATCATGCTTGTGAGATGGAGAAGTACGTTCCATTCTCGGGCACGACACTTGAGCTACGCCCTCAATCGACGGTGCCACGGAACACGAATGGGATAAGCCCTGCACTGGGTCTTCCTACATCTATGCTGGCAGCAGTTCTACCTGCACCAGCTGATTCGTTGTTCTTCTCACCTTTACACTTGTTGATTGAAACTGTCAAATCTCCATGGTTTAACTGCTCATCCACACAACCTGACTTGTACTAGGTTCATGCAAGAGTTGAAGAGGGTAAATACTGTGCACTGTATCTCACATATGCAGCCTGTGACAATCTCTTCCTACCTAGTTCTTCCTTTTCATCACCGGTTATGCCGTCGACTTCGCATTGCCGTGGTTTTCTTCTAATAGGTCGTCACAAAACAACGATATTGACGAATTCTAGTTTCATGGCTAATGACGTGAATGTCACCTCATGCTCATTTGATATTGCAGAACAGACAGATAGTCTAAAGAAGAAACTAAAGTCAATGGCTGATATTATAACAATTGGCGTAAAGATTATATACGTTAGATTATATAATTTTATTTAATTAGGTAAGATATATTATAGATATGATTGGATTCTGATTATGATTATTGGCTAATAGAAAAGAAGTTCAGTTAAAGTAGGATTCCTTAAGAGATAACTTTGATGGAAGTAATTCATCCTAGACCCTCTGCTCTCGCCTATAAATAGATAGGACCTCTTAAGCTAAAATATAGCATCTCAATAATTGAGAGATTAAAGTTTTGGATGATCTCAGTGTATCTCAATGTAGTTGAGAGATTAAGGTCTTTCTCTTAATCTCTAAGTGTATCCTAGACTCTTAGGAGATAACCTTGATGGAAGAAATTCATCCTAGACCCTCTGCTCTCGCCTATAAATAGACAAGATCTCTTAAGCTAAAGTGTAGCATCTCAATAATTGAGAGATTAAAGTTTTGAGTGATCTCAGTGTATCTCAATGTAGTTGAGAGATTAAGGTCTTTCTCTCAATCTCAGATTCGACGATGGAGACACTTGTATATCAGATAAGATTTATTCTTCTGAACAACAATAAAAGGTACGCATCATAATATATTGTTATATCTAATTTTATTTGATTTCAATTTTAACATAAATTTTTTTCATATTACAGATAACATAATTACATATTTTATGCTAACAATAATAGAGTCACCTTACCTTCTGTTTACTTATCCCTCGTAACCAAAAGCTAGCGCAGCCACCACAAGCATCACCTTAACCCTCATTTACTGTGTTCTCACTTCAGTTGGGGATCTGTGTGCATTACAGGGATTCCATTTACAATGATGGGTGGTTGGATTTATCATGGTTGGTGGGAATCTTATATGTGGTTGTCATTTGGTCGTATCAATTATGTCAACTTTACCTCACCTATCATCTAATATACATAATTTTTTGTACTAACATTACTAATCTAAAGAGAAATAATAATAAAGTAGCAGCGTCAAACCAAGCTAACATATCATGGCTTGATCGGCCATGCTACATGCGATTTTATCTTATAGAATATGATCAGACAATAATGCATTCGTATTGGGGAATAAAAAAGAAATTTATTTTTCATCCATTTAACCAAATTAAATTAGATATGATATGATATGATTTGCCCGACCAATGATCGTGGAATTCAATTGATCAATCAATGCTTGCAACCACCATCAGCGAAGAACAAACCCGACCATAGGCTGAGAGAAGAAGCTGAGCACTTACCGTCGAAGAGAGCGGGCAGCTGGAAGAGCATGCCGACCCTGCGTCGGAGCGTGAGGACATCGAGCTTACAGATATCTTGTCCGTCGAGGAGCACCGAGCCGGAAGGCGGCTCCCAGAGCCGGTTCAGGGCGCGGAGGAGCGTCGACTTGCCGCTACCGCTGGGGCCGATGATCCCCACGATCACCCCTTCAGGCACGTCCAGGTTCACTTTCGACAGTATCATCTCGCCTGTCGCCTCCGACTGCTTCGTCAGGTCCCGGACCTGAAGCTTCGCCTTCTTCGCCGGCGAGTCCAGGCCGCGTGCACCATCTACGTTCACTAACAGGTGCTCCCTAACCTCTTCTGTTGAGATGGGAAGTATATGTGCAATATCAGAAAAAGAAGAAAATGGATATACACATCTCTAGAAGATAGCAGATCATATCCCTAGTTAATGGTTGAAAATTACCTTCCGCTGAGCCCATGCCAAAGATGGGATTTTGGCTCAGGATGCAAACAAAAGAGCAGAAGAAATTGGAGAGAGAGAGAGAGAGAGAGAGAAAGAGAGAGAGAGAGAGAGATGACTTGATGTGATCTGCTATGTAGGTTTATATAAGTGAAATGAAGGGATATGATGTGTTTTGGAGAGGTCTGAGGGAGTCATGGAATGGAAAGATAAAATGGCCCTTTTGTCCATGGAGGTGGGATTGAGATCGAGTCATGATCATAAAATACATGATTAAATAGGTTACATGGCGTTACTACCAGCATTTGGGAGGAGGAACCGAGCGAGGCTCACACAAGTGTCACTCCTTTTATGTTCCTCCAAGTAACACATACTATTGTCTCATCATCCTTTACTAATGCTTACTGCAGACGGCAAAGTGGCGGTGGAAAAGTCACCACGAGAAGATGCTCGCCCACCCCACTTAGTGCCTCTCCAAGTTGGCCACGGGAAGATGAAGACTTGCATGCATATGCTCTGAAAGAGAAAAAGAAAAAAAAAAGGAACAGAAGAAAGAAAGAGAAAGGAACCACACAAAGACTCGGCAGAGTCGCCAACGCAAGTGGAGCAATGAGAACCGTGCCTTGTCTGGTTGATAGCTGGATGGAGTAAGATGGGCCGCCCCAGATGGTGATAAAGAAAGGACGGCATCCGTTGTTATTACGAGTACGATGGGACGTACGTCACAGTGGAAGGAACGAAAGGAGGAGAGATTCCTGCGGCACTGCCTCAGGTGGTGCCTTCCCCAACTACGAACGCGATCTTGGCTTTCTGGCCTTATCAAACAATATATATAGCCGTTTGTTTTGGACTCAGGAGAGATCGACGATGGCAGGAAGATGAATCATCACGTTATATTATAAGAGGAAGGCAAACTATATTGAGAACCAGAAAGAGCTGATTAAAAAACTAAACACAATAGAAGAACTAAAATAACTTAAAATATAAACAAAAATTTATAATAAAAAAAGCTTGATTACAATGCCTTTATTGTTGTTCTCTTGATAACTTAATGTTGACACAAGGAAGTGACCTCTACTTTGTATCACAAAAGTCATAATAGACATATCAAAATCTTATATTAATATATAGGAAATGAAAAAAAATTCCATCAAGAGATAAGGCACCTTAAAAAAAATCTCACATATTAAAAAGTCATAAATGACACCTTTTAAATAGTTCTTAACAAACTAGTCATTAGCTATATATATTCTAACTGATGCTGAAGGCTAATACATGGAAGATTATCGACAGCATTACTTGATAGGTCACCTCCACTCCATTGATACCTTCTCAAATCTCAATCAACATATCAGCAATTTCAATCAACGACTCATATAATGAATTGTATGGGGAAGGACTTGACGATTGTGATTCTTCTTTCAAGAAGATTTACTCATATTGAGGAACACCATCTTGCGGGGGCATGATAGAAGATAAGATTTTCCCAACTATATGAGGTCTCTATTTTGTTGAGCGAAATTCTTCTTCCTAATCTATATAAATAGGAGAGGGAACATGTTAATGTATTGAAGCTTCTTCACTTCTTCAATAAAGCTTCTTCAATAATTGTTCTATCTTCTATTCTTTCTTCACTTTGTACATGTTATCGGATCAGCTTCACCCCGGGATCCATTCTCATGTTTGAAAAAAAGAAATGGTAGAACCTAAATGGAGATTTGGATCCATAAACATCATATTCCAAAACACAAAATTTTGCCAATGCATATTCTATTAACCTGTTATTTCATATTGTATGGCAAACCTAACCCACAGGTGAACTATGGTTATTTGTAATTAAGCTTTATATATATTAGGGAACTCATTAGGAATCTTAAATAATTAATTCACATGAAATTGAAGCACTTAATGCACTAACATAAAATAAGCATGGTAGTAAGCAATTTGGAATTGCAAGGCATACTTAATGCAATAGTAAGCCATGATTAGATTCAATTTGGAATTGCCAATCCAACCTAACTCAAGTTGTTTCATCTGATCCAAACCTTTCCTTTTGGTTAATTTCCATATCACTGAAATCCAAAATCTGTTCAGGTTAACCTGTAATGATCATTTATTGTATTTCTGATGTATTTTAGTGCACCGATTTTATCTAGACAGACTCAAATGGGTTGATATGAACCGGATCAGATTCAAGGCCATCGGGTTTGTCTTCTCTCATTCAATTAATCCTAAGTTCATGCAAAATGCATATTAGAGTCCCTCCAAATTTATCAGTCACCTTAGATCTTTGCATCTCAAATATTTACCTCACTTCATCATGAGGTTCAAAGTCTGATACCTTCGATGCGATTGTAAAATGGATTGTAAGTTGACTATACTCAGAATTATCATTTAGATTACTAACTGTTGTAACTCTACGTGCATGCAATCTATATATCATTATAACCTAAATTCTCAACCAAACTTCATGTTTTCATTATACTTCTTTTGTCCCTTTAATGATTCTCATACTTATGGCAGGAAAATACCTTTGATAATTCACATCAAGGACCTCTCCTATTGTATCGAGTACCATCAGGTTTCAAATTCAAACCAACCAATTTTCCATTTGTAACTCTCATTCCCACAGGTGCATAGCTAGCTTTACTTAAATGTTTGATTTAAGATCTAAAACCAAATTTTAATCGAAGATGATGAAGGAATTAACATGGAATCATGACAAGTTTCAGAAGAAGACACTACTAAAGTCAGATACAATACATTTATGCTCATATTTTTTTGACTTTCCTTATGTGATACTACAAGCTCAACTATCTTCTCGTCTATTAATTGGTCAAGGTCAAAAACAAGGTACATTCGAGTCCATTCAATGGAGCCCGATAATCTACAAAATCCGACCCAAGATTTTTGATATTAGTCCTCACTTTTTGAAATGAACGAATTCAAATATTCGATCCAAATCTAGAAGTTATTGGATCCGGATCATACATGGATGATGTTATTCTCTAGATCCGAAGAAGCAAAACAATTACGACTATGAAATCCCTGCTCTTTTTTTTTTTTAATCTTTCCAACTCCATCCCACGTAAAACTCTCTTAGATCACACAAACAAACAACCAGAGTTGGTTTCTTGGTGCTACATTTTCTTCTTGATTCTTCGATGGTTTCAAGGGTGCTGAGATCCCTTGATTAATAGATAAGGCATGGGGTAGTGTCCTATGTTTTAAGGACTCCTAGTGAATAGTTGACTGACCCTTATTTCCTCTTCGATTGGGGCGTCGATCTCCTACTAGGAGTGAGATTGAGGAGGGTTGGTTGTTTGTGTTAGTGTGCAAAGTCTTCTCCAAATTCAAGTCTAATTAGGATTGGGGTTTGATGAAGGTTGGAGTTGATCGGATGTTACTCCTTTCGTTGAGACTGAACTTGACTAGAGCTTGGCTAAATCAAATTTGAATCAAATGCTAAGTTAAAGTCTAACTAAGCTAAATTGGATTTTGAGTGGAGCTGAATTGGATTTAAGAATTATTTTTAAAAAATTTATTATTTATTTAAAAAAATCAAAGGGGTATATATTTTATTGCTCTAATCATAATATAAGAATAGTTGAATCTGGTAATATAAGATTCGTATAAAATAGCGAATCAATGGGAGTAAAAATCTTAAAATTTCATCTTGATATTGAGGAGATACATATTGATACTCCTTTATTATTTGAGAGATTATTATTATTCAAATTATTAAATAATTTGATAAATATTAATAATAAAATAATGTTAGTGAACTCTTACATAATATTGATATTGCCGCTAATGATCTTGTAGAATAACTATAATTGATAGTTTTGATAATGAAAGGAGACCTATTATTTCTGATTATTATATGATATATTTACAAGAATCAAAAGGATCCTGCATTATTTTCATAAAATTATTAAAAGTAGTGATTCTAAAAAATGATATGATACAATAAAGAAAGAGTTCAAATTAATAATCCGAATGATGTTTGAGAATTCATTGAATTGCCCAATAACTATAAAAGAGTCTGTTATATAAACATCCTTCAAAAGATAATATCAAATGATATGACAATCAAACTTATGGTCAAAGATTTTTACTCATAAAGAATGTATTTACTATAACGAGACGTTTTATCTTTTTTTTCTAAATAAACTCGTTAAAAATCATCATGACATTAGTGGGTTATCAAAATTTTGAGTTACGTCACAAGGATGTGAAAGCAAGTTTTTTGATTGGGGATTAAGATTTATATGTATGAACCTAAACGATTTGTAGAGAAAATAAAATAAATATAAAATTTTGTATGTAAATTTAAAAAATTCATTTATGACCTTAAGAAAAATATTATTGATTAGATCAATCAAAATAAGTTTATTATATTGATCTTATATATGAATAATATTTTTCTTTCTAGTAGTGATCTTAGTTTATTGTATTGAGCTAAGAAATTTTTCACCAAAAATTTTAAAATGATTGATATGTATAAGACATATTATATTATTAACAATAAGATATTCATGGATAAATCTCAATGATTACTAGAATTATCTCAGAAAAGATATATTGATCAAGTCTTAGAGAGATTTAGTATACAACTTTATTCAACAAATAATAAAAATAAAAAATTTAATCAAAACAAGTATTTTTTTAATGACTTAGTAAAGAATCAGATAAAAAATATTTTTTATATATGCACATTTATAAGTCTATTATATACTAAAGCCTATGCCAGATTATATATCATTTTTGTAATTATAATACTTGATAGATATTAAAATTACCTATAAATGAAAATATTAAAAAAATTACAAAGAAAATAATAATATATCTGAAAGGGACAAATAAATATATGCTCACATATATAAAATTAGATTAGCTTAAAATGATTGGTATTTTTTAGGTATTGATTTTGAAAATTACCTTAATAATAGGAAGTCTACTCTATATTTTATATCTATATCAGTTGAAGGGACAATTTACAGGAAAAAATATAAAACAATATATTTAAGGCCACTAATCAAGCTTTATGATTGTAAAGTTTTATCTTAGAACTTAATATGATCAGACTCAATTTGCTAAGTCACTGAAGATACTTCGTGACATATTATAAT